AGTTATTTATTTCTTGTTTCCCCATAGAAGAGTAATAGTGAAACGAACTTGAATAAAATTTTATGAAATTTCTCTGTTTTATTTTATAAATAAAATCGGGTAAAACTGCCGAGAAACCGCTACGAAAAAAAATTACGTCCCTCATCCTAATATAAAAAATGCACCGATAATATTCTATTTAGGGTTAACGCAACATAGCCACTTTCTAATATGAAAACGTACTTCCTCTTTGAAAATACTTTACGCGACTATCACTCTAAAAAACTGGTTCATTTCTCCGAAACCGTTCACTCTAATTGATTTTTGTTGCTCCGAAAGCAGTTTTACTTGTTAGTAGAGATGTCCGATCGAAATGGTCTATATTACATTTACCAGTCGCTAATTAGCTTAATATGCGTTTTTTCAAAAAGCTCAATGGAACTTATGAAACTTACTTTCAGTGTTTATTTAAATTAAACAAGTAGAAAGAAAATACTATTACATATTTTTTAAACAACATTTACTGATGGTTAAATTGGTCTTACTTATTATATTTTGTAACATAACTATATCATTTAAAAAACTTTTCATGAAAAATTAATTTTATTTCATCCAAATCGATCAATGATTTCATGAGATACCAATTTTTCGAAAATAACAATACAGAAATTCGGACGTTTAAGCTTTTACCCTAACCTGCTTTGTGTAGTTAAGAAAAAGAATCTCAGAAAAAAATTAACAAAATTTATATAATTAACACGAAAAAAGCTCGAAAATAAAAACACAACAAAATGCAACAATAAATGATAAACTGGAAAAGTTAAAATTAAAGAAGAGCTTCAGCTTTCATTGGACCACATCCCTTTTTCCATTCTCCTATTAAAACCCGTACAATTGACACTTTCCTATTTCACTACATATTTCACTACTCATCTCTAATTTCACTAATTTCGTGGTCCGCTTGACCAATTAATACATTACAATTAATTAAGGTTTTTAGTTGAGATGAAAAAAATTGAAAAATGGCAAAAAGGAGGGAAAACTCATAAGGTGGGGTTGAGATAGGAAGTTGATGTCCGAGTGGATCGAGGTCACGATAGGTCAGGTGTTAGAGTAGAGGCGTATCTAGCCTAACATCGTGGATTCGAATCCCGCTCGTGCCATTAACTTTTTTTCATCTCAACAAAAAACCTTAATTAATTGTAACTCATCTCGATTTTGAATCTTTTTTCGTAATATCATCCGGCTATTTATGGGCTAAACATGAGTTTTTACGTAACCGCAAAGAAAATTTGGTTAAATTCATCTAATTAAGTTAAAATAGGTAAATGGTAGCCAAGAAACAAGACCTCGGAGACTAGAAAATCGGTGATCCAAGGAAAACGTTTTTACGAAATTTGGGTAGGACATCCATCTAGCTGGAACACATCACCACGTGTAGCAAGGGCAATGTTTTCAAAAAGTTCAGGAAGGATGCCTTTCAAAAACTCGATGAACCGTTTGGTATTGAAATTTTAATCATAAATAAATAGTCCTAGGGACGTCCTATCAACCCACATCTAAACCTTGGATGTGGATAGGGGAAGATAAAAGCCAAAAAGGTCCAACCTCTTTGCTATTTCATTTATTTCGTGGTCCACTTGACCAAATAAATTCTTTTCAATTAATTAAGGTTTTGGTTGAGTTAAAAAAGTCAGTGGATCGAAGTCACGATAGCTCAAGTGGTAGAGCAGCAGCGTATTTGGTTGAAGGTCATGGGTTCGAATCCTGCTCATGACACTGGCTTTTTTTCTCAACCAAAACCTCTTTGCTATTATTTAAACAATGTATCTCGGGAAATCCTTGATGGATTTCGATGAAATAAAATTAATTGAATCTTTTTGAAGATCGGAACTAGCCTTTTTACAAAAATCTCTTTCTTGCTTACACAACCTTTTTTTTACAAACATCTCCAATCAGACTAAACGTTCGTGAATTTTATAAAAACGATTCTTGGCAGTAAACGTGAATAGTTATTTTTGTAGATGAAATGTTTTCGACAAGTTGCTGATGTGAAAATTTTACATACAAAAAGAGCTTTTTTGTTTACTGTGAATACAATGAAAATGAGATCATTTATTGGGACGTCGGTGCCGCAACCGTTAAAACGTTGACACAGCGCTCATCACTGTAAGGCGAAGGTCCCGGGTTCGAATCCAGCGGCCCTGCATTTAAACACTCGTACAAAAAGAGATGACTGATTGAAAATGAAAATAATCAGTAGAAAATTAAAAAGAATAAGAAAAACATGAGGTTCATTTCACCTAAATTGTTCCAACCTCTGCAGTCAAAGGATGAAGAGGATTTATCTCGACATAAATTTAAATATATTATATGCATATTGTAATTATTTTTTGATTTTAATATAATGAATAATGTATAATAATTATATATTAACAGTAATTAATTATGATATTTCAATATATTTACATTTCAATATCACATATCTAGCCTTATTTATATCTCGAAGACGCCTCGGCAACAGTCTGGAAATGTATCTTTGCTGGAGGTTATCCCTTAAACTCTCAACACGACACGCAAGGATGGCACAATTACACAGAAGACAAACACTTTGAGCCCTGAAGATGATCTCAATAAAAGATCGAAACGTTGGCACGATAAAGAAAATGTTTTTCTGAAACCTACGTCACCCCGACCGCATCCAACGATATCTGAATTGTTGTCCCTTAAATTTTCGATGGGGTTTAAGTCTGGAGAACGGGCTGGCCAGGCTGAGACCCTGATGTTATGCTGTTGAAGGTACGTTTGTACTATGCGAACGACATATGGACGGGCATTACCGTGCATTAGAATAGGATTGTCGCTGATTTCATCGAGGATAGGCAACGCATGATATTCCAAAATTTCATCCACATAGCGAGTGGCCGTCAAAGATCATCCAGGAACAACAACCAGTTCTATGCGACTCTCCATTGAAAGTAACGGCCACACCATCACTGAGCTACGTTGAAAAGGTTCGTACCTTTCATTTCGCCTTCTCCACAATCTCTCATGTCTATCGGGAGATCGTAGCAAATCTACACTCATCTGTAAAAGTACATCAGACCAATTGTCTAAAGACCAATGGCTGTGTTTTCGAGCAAATGCGAGCCGTGCAACTCTGTGAGTTCTGGTTGATACTGGTCCTCTTACGGGGCGAAAAGCCATCAGTCCATACTGATTCAATCTTCTTCGAGCAGTGCGTTCAGAAATTTGGACACCTCGAACTTCCTGGAGCTGAATCGCTTGAACAACAGTAAGGTGCCGGTTTCGTAAAATTCTCGAAGTCAAAAAACGGCCTTCTATGGTGGGACCCAGTTTCTCGAAAACCTCTAACGGCGTCTCGCAGTGTTTCGAAGGAAACTCCGATAGCAATAGCCGCATACCTGATGGAACGTCCATCATCAATAAGTGACACACTAGGCGCAACACCCTCAGCACTAAGTGCCATTTTTAAGTTTAAAAATTGAAATTTAAAAAATAAATATGGAAACTAAACAGTTTATTGCTTCAAAATTCAAATAACTGAATAAACATTTTAAATTCAGTAAAAATTAAACATTGAAAAATCCTTTATACTTGTTTTGAATTAATGTTTCAGTGTGTTTACTTCTAATTGATATTCTCAATTTAAAACATAGCATAAACAAATATTTATTGATAAAAATAATTAGACAAATTAAGGGCAGAATTTTCTTTTATCGAGAAAATGAAAAAAATTAGTTGGGTGGAATTTTTTGCCTGTCAGTGTATATATTATATAATATTATATTTATTATTATTATTATGTAAATTATATAAATAAATATAAATTAGTATTAATGGGTTAGAGAAAAAAATCATTGTTTATCATCGTGCAAAACCAATGTAGAATCGGATATGGAATGAACTTCGTTCCGACTGTCAAATCATAAATTCATTAAGTTTGAAACCCCAAGATTCAGTATTTCATGAAAATTGACAATAACAAGGCAGAAAACGGAAAAGTGCAAAACACGATTTACTGTAATGAAAGAAAAAAAAGAGGACGTACTGGACCAGAGGACAAGAGGCTTTTCTGTTGTTTTCACTCCTAAGTTTTACTTTAATGTCTTGGTAATTGTAAACGAATATTACCAATACATAAATACAAAATCAAAATTAAACGTGCATAAAATTATAGTTAATATTTTTCAGCATACAAGGCTTGTAAGTGGAAGAACTAGTAGCTACAGATTTCAATTCACTGGAAATTTAAGTTCAATTTAGAAAACTATAGGTAAAAACTATTAAGGCAACTTAACTGTTATGCAATCACGTTGCTTGAATTGGTTATATTCGATTTAAATCAGAATTAGTTATATGCTGGAAAATAATTTTGTTGTCCTTTCTTTATTCCAATTCTGCCATGATAGTAAACGTTTATTACATAAATTCTATTTCATGTTAAACAAATGACAAAATATAAAATGAGATCGTTCCTGTGATAAATTATTGCGATTGCGATCCATTTGTCACGTCATTATTTCTGTTGTTATCAACGTTATTTATGTAGAGCGAGTATAAAGACGATTTTGTTTTTATTATTTTATACTCGATGATGCATTTTTATTTTATATTATGGTTTCGTTGTTTTTTCTTTTTTAGAGGACAATTCAAGAAAAAGATCGAACAGATTTTTATCCAAGTTACTCTTTGAGAATGTCATTTGATATAACATTTATTTATATGATTTATATTATTTTCGGGTAGTTTTTTTAAACCAAATTCTTTGCATTTTGACTATTAGGCCTTTATAAGACAATTTAAAAAGTTGCATTTATAAAAAACTAAGAAAATAAGAAAGTGGGTCGTTCAGTTGATTTTAGTTTCTTATTCTACACTATTTAATTTCTTTTTTGTACCGCCTATTGTTTAGGTTAACGGTTGAAAAGGCATTAGGTAAAACAGAGAACGAAAGTGTGAATAATAAAAATCTTATTTATTTAAAAAACATAACAATATAAAACAAAAAAAGCTGTACATAACAATATAACAACAAAACAACAAAATCCAGTCAATTGGTCCAATTTGGAACAACACCTGTAAAATCATGCAAAGCGGTCAAAAGAGAATTAAATCAAAAGAATGAGAAATAATTGGGGTGTTTTACCAATTTTACTTTAGTGGTGGTAACTGTGGTGGGAGCTGTAAATGTGCTTGACTTTGTAGATCGGTACAGGGACGGGGTACGGTTTTGGTACCGGGTAAGGGATCTTCTTGATGACTTCGACGGGGTACGGCTTCTCAACAGTGACTGGGACGTGCTTCTCAACAGTGACTTCGACTTTCTTCTCGACAGGGACGGGCACGGGGACCTTGATCGGGATTGGGTGAGGGACCTGGGGAAACAAAAAACTGTCAAATTTGATATCAATTTTCTCGAGGGTACAATTTTTTTTACATTGCATCGGTTCTTAAATTTATATTTTAATGATAGTAGTGAATTTCATATAGTAGTAAAAACCCGTGTGCTTGTTATTTGATTTCCTTTGTGGGTATTTGAGTAAATAATGAATGTTACCTTGACAGGGACAGGTATGGCAACAGGGTGAGGTACATAATGAGGTACCGGAACGTGGACGTGCTTGTACACAGGAACATGAACATGTTTTTCTACTTCGATTGATTGAACATGTCCACCACCGAATCCACCGCCGCCTCCTTCATAGTGTCCGCCACCTTCGTAATGGCCACCGCCTCCGTAATGTCCACCGCCTCCGTAATGTCCACCGCCTCCGTAATGTCCTCCTTCGTCTCCTTCATCGCCTCCATCTCCACCGCTACCGGAGCTATATCTGGTAAGAGAACATATTAAGACAATTGTCTTTAAAAATTGATGAATAAAGCAAAACGTGCACTCACTCGTGGACAATTCCTCTTTTAACCACGGTAGCTTGCGAAAAGGCAAGGCATAGAGCCAGAGAGAAGGAAATTACCTATAAGAAATTATATTTTAGTATGTTTCCAAGAATGTTTTATGCTTGTTATGTCTTCAAGGCTTCGTATTACCATGGGATTCATGTTGTCTTGAGCGTTGGAAGCGTGTGACTTAGTGACCAAGAAGACGTAGCTTTTATACAAGATGCTTTCTCCGCTCCCACCCTGAATGCAGCCCAGGTTCCGTACCTTCGTTCCCCACTTCCTCATTCACTAGGAACCTTTCTTTGGTACAAGACCCAAGACGCACTTCTCGAATTACTGCCCTTCCGGGAGTCTCAGAGATAAATTACATACCAGGAAAATAGTTTCAGTTTTCCCTAATGCAAAGCCTAATAACTCAAACTGCTCTTAATGTATAATAATTTGATAACGATTATCGTAATATTTTTATTTATAACCGACAACAATTACATAATTAGTATTGAAAAATTTAATCATTTATTTTTGTTCCAATTTTTATAGCACAGAATCCTCGCTTGCTATCCAATATTTCACATGACTTTAATTAGAAATTAGTAACTTTTATATATTATAAAATTACAAAAAATCTAATCATAATTATATACAATATGGCTGCCTTAATAGTGTTTTACAACTCTCAGTAATTAATTTTTTTTGAATATTTTCAATAAATACAAATATTTTCAACTAAAGTATGATTATTTATAGGTAATCATTGAAAACATAAATTGTCCTTTTTTTACGGCGGTATTTCAAATAGGAAGCTATATGAACCTCGGGGAGTCGGTGTTTTTGTCTACAAAAATTCGAAATATTTAAGACCACATAAATATTCACAACTCACTAGTTAGTACGATATTTGAAAAATGGCAAAAAGGAGGGAAAATTCAAAAGGTTGAGATGGGAAGTTAGTGTCCGAGTGGATCGAGGTCACGATAGTTCAAGTAGTAGAGGAGCGGCGTATCTACCCGAAGGTCGTGGGTTCGAATCCCGCTAGTGACATTGACTTTTTATCTCAACTAAAAACCTTAATTAATTGAAAAATATTCACAACTTTGCAATACTTAGTGAATTTTGGCCAAATAAATATTAGATTAGATGATATGAAACTCGTTTTTAATTGTTATATAGAATATTTTTTCTTCCATAAACAGCGGAAAATTTTTTTGTTCAAATGAAGAGCAATTCGACACCAATACATAAACATATCTTTTGATGAACTGCCAGAATTATATTTAAGCAATCATAATTTTTTATAGTCCATCATTAATTTTCAAATGCAGAAGTAACTCTTGACATTGAAACGATAAAACCTGACGCTCAGTTAATAAAAAAATTAGTTCAATGTGCAACAGAGGAGAGAACTAGGTTGTACAGCACTTCTTAACATTCATACTACGTCCAAGCCGAATTTAGGCTGACTTGTTTTGAAATATCCATCTTGTCGCCAAAGGAAACTGAGGCAATTTTTTACTGGAAGTAATTGGATTAACTTAAATAAATAGGGCCAGGGGCGACGACGACGGTGCGAGTCGAACCCACGACCGCGGAGTTAACAAGCCGAGAATCTATCAAGCTGACCACTAGGCTACCCTGGTCACCAAAAACGATCCGATTATTTCACATGTCAAACGTAGGTTGCTTAGTAAAAAAACATCATGAAACAAACTAATTTTATTCAAATTATTTTTCTTATTTTTCTACCCACTTTTCCCAGCTGGAACCAATTTTTTAATTACAGAACTGAAAAATTCAGAGTTTTGAGAAGTAATAAGCCAGAATACGCTTTTTGAACCTCTGAATGTATAAAAATGACTGAAATAGGGAAATTTGAACCTAGCCTAGTAGAATTAATTTATCCACTATCTCCCTTTAAACCTGAAGTCTCGAGTTCTAGTGAGGAGTAAGGACAGTGCAGGGGGTTGTAAAAGTGGTGGTGTCACTTCTAGGCAAAGCGGAATGGATGATGACTCAAGCCCTAGACTACTATGTCAGGGTTCAGCTGTATTGGCTTTAAATTTGGTTTTAGCATGTGTCCTTTTGTTACAATTTATTCACAATCTGACCGACTCTGATTCACAAACAATCCAACTTGAATCAGTATTATTTTTAAGATTTAAACGTTTAATAAAACTAGACTACTAGTTTATCTAGTAATGTAGGAAAAATAATACCTAGACCAGCCTCTAAATCTTGCATTTTATTCTAGAACGAAGATGAAATTTTCAACTACACAGAAATCATAAGACCACTTCAATTTCTAAATTCCCGAATTTGCAAGTGTACTGTGCTTTTTTTGTAGGTTCGCTAAGATTTTACAAATTTACAGCCCATGAGACGACCAGATATGGTTCTCATGATGATTTCGTTTTAGAATATTATATAACTTCCATTAGTTAAAGTTATTTTTATTTTTCCTCAATTTAAAAAATCCTGATATTCTTATATGCAATTTTTATTCCAATAAAACACAATTTCCGTCTTGATTTCCTTAAAAAACCAGTTTGCGAGGCTTATTTTCTAATTGGCTGATATGTATTTCGTTCAAACTTGTTTCACACTTTTATTCTTTTTATACGTGCCAAAATTAATGATACAATTGGTGAGGTGTTACGGTTGTCCTTTAATTTTGCTGAGTCAATCAGTGTTTTAATCTATTCAAAAATTATTATACAAAATTGGTACTGTAATTATTTTTCTTAAAAAAAAAAAATTAAAATTAGTCCTTCCAATGAAAGTCACGGACTTGTTGTCTGATCTTGTTAAATAAATATAAATGCCGGTAGGCTTCGAAAGATGATTCGATCACGGTCGCAGACTTGGATGAGAGCCGAGATAAAGACGTGACTTTCCTCCGGGATCGAATTGCATAACACGAACTTGTGAAGGTCGGGTGCTTTGACTTCTTTGAGCCTTAGACGACGATCCTTCAATTGAAATGAAACTGTTAATTATTTTATTTGTGACATTTGGAATGATATTGTAGAATAGTTTTTAAGGAAGGTTTAAACCACCTTGATGTTAATTGCTGAACTGTGTGCTGTTTTGTCATACTTGTTTAATACAGCCTCCCCTCGGCCAGGTTCTTCTTCTTTGCCGTTGATGTTCTTTTCTATTTCTAATTAATCTTTCTTTCAGAAATTCTTATCGACTTATTTGGGGTAAATTGCAGTTTCTTTTGTACTGAACATGTTTTACTATGAACAAGCAGTAGTTATGCTCGAGTTTGTTTATATCTTTTCAGTTATTATTAAGGTAGTTCTACATGCGGTATTCGCCGAATACCGATTACCACCGAATATTTGCCATGTCTCGAGATGCTCGTCTTGGCATTCGCCAAATAGCGTGCCTAGGTATACCTACACACACGAGGGGTTTATACAACCACCCAGTTTGTGCGAAAACAGCGAATATTCGCCAAGTGCCGTGAGTACCTAAACTTACTACCTATCGTGATGGACAACAGTGAAGTTTACTGTTTTGTGTAGTGGCTACAAACTCAGTCACAAATCACTCACAGAGTACTGTTGAAGGGATTCAACGTTTATGATTATTTTTTTATTTTATTATATATTTATTTTTATTTATTTATATATTTATTATTATTTATTATATATATTTATTTATTTTATTCCCATTTTACTCCCGATTTTTGTAATTCGGAAGAGAGGCGTTCCAAATTTTTGGTTCAGATCGAAGAACTCCAAGACTGTTATATTGGGCCAATTCATTCTTAAACAACAGAAACAACGATGTGTTGTCCTTTCATTAATACATCTATATTAGTTAGGAATCTTTTATTATTATTGAAAAGCAAATAACAGTAAATAGAAGTAAACAATAACAGTTGATTGATAATTAGAATTGATTCCCGAATGGATGCTTTGAGTTTGGCTACTTCACGAATATCCCTGCATTTTGAGGCGACAAGAAAGACGACGAACCGAGCATCTCTCCTCCCTAGTTCGGCGAACCTTTGCTCAGCATTGGGCGAATCCGTCATGTCTGGAGCCACCTTTAATAGTAGGTGGTCTGGGAATGGTACTAGTTTAACTCCTTTAAAAAAATTAATTTCTGAAGGAAATCGTTCTCCAAGTCAGAAAATTCCAGTCCGGAGAGTGCCCCTTGACCGCAACCTTTTTTTCTCTTTTGTCTATAGTTGAAGGACAACAACTTCCTATGGGTAAGTGTTAGAGTGGAGGAGTGTGTGTTAGTGAGTGACAGCTTGTGAGTGGAAGGGTAAATGAGTGAGAGATACGGATAATGCGTGAGAGGTATATATATATATATATATATATATATATATTAANGAGTGAGAAAGGGATTCCTCTGATCCTTTTCAAGTACTTTTCCATAGATAAACAGAACAGGAGGATTGGAAAATTCTAAAAATGAAATATTTCTGTTAAAGTCTTTTGAGCGTGATCGCTGTGGACCGTGTTCTGTTTTGAGATTGGTGAGAACATAGACGGCTGAAAAGGAAGTCCTGTAAAGGTCAATATAGCCTTTCAGATAGCCGACGATTATTAACTGCACGTCGGCAGTTACATAGAAAGTAAATGCAAGGCGTACCAGGCGTTACTCTCTGCGATTCTAGTACGCCGAATAAATAAAAAATGATCTTGTTAACTCTTGATTTTTCACCAATATCAACCAACCGGAGAAACGGTCCAGAAGTGAAAACATTATTCTCGACTAGTTCTAATCTCACGCCGAGATTCTCATATGATGTAATATGGATAGTAATAATTTATTCACGGAAGAGGATGTCCTACTGTTTCTCACATGATCCTTTAATTTTCAACACGTTGACCTGTTACTGTTATGCCGTATTGTCAATAAAAAACAAAACAATCAACATAATAGTTGAAGAGCAATATACATTTCCTAACTACATTACGGTTAAATAACGTGTCGATTTCCATAATCACAGATTCATTTAAGGTTACGTAAGCAGATGTTTAAAATGCAATAAAAGCAAAGGGGCATCTGACAGCTTGGTCATTTCAGCCCAGTATGTATTGATGTTGCCAAAAATGGTTCTCCTTTTTTGTTAATGTACACCAAAAAATTTCAGTTTATCTATACATTTTTTCTAAAATTATCCTTCATTCTACAATTGTTGTTTCCTAAAGTTCTGTAAAATTGAGACAAAATCTTCT